CGGATCCAGTGCGGGCTTCCCAGAGCAGGACATATCTGCAGCAAGGTTCACGTGTCCGGTGTGAACTGGAATCTCCATTTTGCTACGGCCTCCTGGGCTGCAGACATGCTCGGAGCAAAGCGTGGGGAGCCCCTTGGCAAAGAGTTTTTGGTACAATGCATGCATGGGCATGCTCCACAAACAAGGGCCTTACTTTGCACTTCTGCTGCAATGCGATGCTGTCATCACTGTGAGCAAGAGACGCTTTCCTTGTACGCCGCTAGTGCCAGGAAGTGGGGATTGGATTTACAGAGTTGGGCGTGGCATCGCTCGAGGCGAAATTTCTGGAGAGAGCCCTTTCAGGGAAGTAAACCAACCCAAAGTTGAATTTCAGCCTTCGCAGTCATGGAAGCACCCCTCTCCTGCCTGCTCAGAAAATACCCTGTACAGCTTCGGCAAGGCCCCTGTTCTCCATCTGTCTGCAGAGCGACGGCCTCATGCCTTTGTCGCTGCCTTCGGGTCCTTGTGGCCTTTGTTATGTTGTGACGCTCTACAAACATCTTGAGACCACAAGGGCCCCTCTCACTCCATGTGGTGTTTGGCGGAATAGGACTGACAGGTCCGCAGGTGACGCTTGTGCTGGCTGTTGTGAGGGCATCATGTAACCTTCACCTATTCTGCGTTGTACGTGGCAGTCCTTCCCGTGCAGGGCACCTTGTCCACTCAACATGGGGCTTGGTGTGAAAAACGGATGGAGCCAACGGATGCCAATGGTCACTGCAGGAGGTTCTGTCGTGAACCCGGGATTGAAAGTAGATTGCAAGCTCCAGACCAAGTGCTACATCTGTATCCATACGATTGTATCTGGCTGCACCACCGCCACGAGGTTATCAACTCCTACGGAGAAGATACTGCCCTCAGCACAGGCTCCAATGCTGGCTGGACGGTGATGGGGGCCCACACGATGACTGTTGCCTGGTGGCTCCTACCTACGTAACCTTGAATCGACAGCGAATGGGGCAGTGCACCCGATGGCGTCCGTTTACAGTATGCAGGGAGCCTTGTGAATCGGGCATTGAATCCCAACTGATGTCTAGACCCTAGCCTCCAAAACCATGCCGCGAGATTCTGGTCTTTGCTGAAAAGCTCCCTGCTGTCTCGAGGAGGAGGCAGGTACAAATGCATGCCGAAGATGGTTCAAAGGCGTCACTCTTTTCAAGTCCGGAAACCATCAGCTGGCGCCGCCATCCCAATTAACACTACCTGCATCTGACTGCTTTGGCTTGTAGGCTTGTAGGTGCTATCCATATGACCGGCGAGTACCACAAGTAGAAGCATACAATAGTAAGAGAGGATGCCTGTGGAGCTCGTACACCAAAACCGTAGGGGGAGGCATTGGAAGGCACAACACAAATCGAGTGCGCACACAACGACAGCAATGGAGCACGTACGATATGCGCCGTTGGCCACAGGTAACCGTTTAAGCTCTTCATGCGAGCTTTCCCCCAAACAGGAACATATGCAACCCTGTGCCTTTTGAAGCGGAGGATGAGCAAAAGTGGCTCGTGCTAAGCGGTACTGGAATCAATCTCTCCACATCTACCCTACCGGATTTTTCGTCCGACCAACCCTGCATAAACGGACGGAGAAGCCTAGAACGCGATCATGGTAACTTTGATAAAAAGCACAGGGCCGCTGCAACGGTGTAGGCTCGAAACAACGAGCTTCCAAAACATGTTTGCACGGACAGCGAACTGTTCGGCTGTGGCTGCGGCTAAGCTTACATCAAGCTGCTGCTTTAAACTAGCAGCATCTGCCAGTTCAACTTGTTGTAAACCCGCAAATACTGCATTTGCCCTGCCAGGCAAATCTCAATTTCCAGCAGCCGCTGAAATCGTAAAGCCGTAGCCGCAGCCAAGAGGTGCCGAGCATTTGCTGTAGCATCAAGAAGCCACTGCCCTTAACACTGTTGTGCACACTTTCCGATTCTACATAGACAGAGCGATTTTTCACTGATGGCATCCAACACGTGTACATCTAAGAGGTAATCACTTGAGATGCTGCACGGACGCAGCCTGCCACTGCAGCTTGATGTACTGCACACTTACTTACAGCGACTTACAGAATATAGGCATTCCAGCGGGACGAAGTTAAGCAATCTGGGAGTGCGTGGTGCTTCGCCTGTGGCTGTTGATGCGATGTGCAAACATTACCGAGCTACGGATTGGAAGTCAGCCGCTGTGAAGGACACGAAGACAAACGATGCTCGCAAGGGGGAAGCCTTCGTAAAGACAGTACACCGAAGGACCTAAAACGATGGACTTCGATTCGCAAGCTGCCTAACAGGCTGCAGGTTGAACTCAGGAAGCTACACTCTTCCATCTGAAATCTTATGACCACGAGCCCGACGAGCCACTGCCACAGAACATAAATTCTTATGATTCTTAACATTGCCTTCAAGAAGCGAATTGGTCTGATGCTTCGGAGCAGCGTGCATTGCGTCCCAAATGCAGGATCTAACTCACTGCGACTTGCCCTTGACTCGGCCTGCCGCATGCCTGAATAGTCTTCCGGCGAATCTATGAAGCGGATCGCTAGGGTCTTGCTCGATTCCAGTGTCCTCTTCGCGGCTTGGCGACTCCGCAGGAGGAAAATTCCATACTGGCGTGCGTACTGTCAGCAGTTTTGCTGCGGACCCTGAGCTGTTGCGGAGGTCCCAAGCCTCGAATACCAAAAACATCGAAGACGTCACCACTTGGAACCGCAGCTTTGGTATTCTGCTGGCGCACTGCCATGCTCGCCGCTGCTGCTGAAGGTATGGGTGGGAGATACTGTGAATCCAACAATACCTATCCTTCATATGGGGCTTTCTGCTTTGAGACTGCCGGTGCGATCTTTAGTCGTGCCTGCTGTCACCAGAGCTGAGACTGGAAGCCTCCCCTTGATTACGGACATCCTTCCCCTGTCATTGAACCGATCGCATGAATCGCCTGCAGCTGCAACTGAGCTCAGGGATTCTCGGCACAGACGATCTCCCTTGCCCACGTGCCTTCGCCCACTGGAAATAATTCCCAGGTCCGAAGTGTAAGCACCAAGATCCGGCGGTGGAAATGGTTTCAAATTTCTCAAAGTCAGGCATGCCTATCTGAGGGGCTCGGTCGTACCCGTGGGTCTGGCTATGCTCATGAGACCAAGGCGGGGGCCCTGCCCTGAGTTTCCTATGTTTTTCATTACCTTGCTTCGTGCTAGTGGCTAGAGACTGCACTCTCTGTACAGGTATTATAGACAGTTACAAGTTTCAAGGTATATGGAGACAGTCAATAAGCTTGCTTCGTTGCACAGTGCTACTACTTACCTCCTTTCCGGCCGAGTTTCCGAGACGGTTCAGGCTTCGATGCTCTGGCAGCTCCCCGAGCCCCGCAGAAGCTCTGGCAAAAGCAGTCACGGCTCGGCCTAACTCCTTGCCAGAACACATACCCGCCGGCGCACGACCAAGGTCACAGGGCTATAAAGCCTGCTACAAGTAGAACTGTGGATCATTAGAGATTATGTTAGAAAAGCCGAGGCTCTCTCCTGGAATGTCATGTGAATAACATCTTGAGCGAGAAGTTGCTTGACTCTGAAACAGCTGGCCAGCTTTCGACTCTCACACTCGCACTCGGGAAGGCACGGGTTCTACATCGACAAGATCCACCTTAGTTCTTCGTTAACAGTGTGTCGCTGGCCGGCGAGATGTGCTTCCTTTAGCAGGCCATCACGTCAACGTCCTTGGCCTTGGATAGCCGAACTGAGGTGCTGAAGTGGAGACTCTGAACACGACCTGCAAGTCCCATGAGACACCCTAAAGTTGTCTGGAAAACTGACACAAGAAAGCCAGGGAGCATGGTTTCCAAAGAGCGCCGTGAGGTCTCCATCCTCAAGGAAACGGCCTTGGTGCGCCGCATCATCCACCAGTGTAAGCTCCTTTTCGTTGTCCCCAAAACAGATGTTTGCATGCTGAGAACTGCTACATATGACCTCAGCCTTGCACTTGCAAACTCTGCTCTGGCTCCTTCGAATCTGAGCCTCGGACGCACTGCCTGGTCATCCTCAAAGATCGTTGGGAGTTACAGACACAGAGTCTCGGTGTGTGTGTGTGTGTGGGTCTCTTTACTGACAAGTACTAAGAAGGCTTCGAGCTTTGCCTCCTGCATTGCTGAGAAGGCTTGTAGTGGGATTGGACGAAGAGGCTTGCAAATGCACATTCATCTCCGGTCTGATCAACCGGACATACCTGCAAGATTGGTTTCACCTTGCAGTGGCTACAATGAAGTCTGGAGATTTACAAGAACTTGATACATCGCATCTACTGATCATCAACCCTTTCTCGTCTTCTTCGAACCACGAATTATTGTGTAGTACAGGCTAAAATTCCGGTTACAGTTGACTATTAAGCAGAGATGGCGAACAAGATGCCGAGAATGCAGCCGCAAAGGAAAAGGATCTACAACCCGCTTCCTAGCCCACTTGGACGGGGTATGGGAGAGGGCCAAACACCATTGAGAAAACACACATCAGGAAGCTGATGTGTGCAACTAGCGAATGTCAATGTAGTGGAATTCCCTCTTGTGCTGGCAGCAAGGCAGCACATCTCTGTTTCTCGGTCGGGAGACGAAAGGTGCAAATTGGCATGCTGCCGCCTCAGGCCGTGTTGTCGTTCAGTTGTACCGGGCGTGCATCCATCGCTGATTAGCACGGTCTTTGCGGTGTGGTGTCGTTCCCGTGCTGTCGAATCAGCATCATCATCATCAGCAGCATGAGTGTCAGAGTATCATCCTCAGGTTCGGCCCACCGGATTGCTTTCAGAGCGAACTACAATCGTCGGAGAAGCACGGCACGGCAATTGATTGCGTCAGGACTGACTGAGCTGCGGAGGTCAAGAGCCAAACGATGAAACACCACTCGCATTCTTGTAATTTCGATGCATGTTAGCTATCCGTCCGACGCCGTAAAAAACTAAAAGTCCTGATCTTTGACGGCTCTTAGCTGGGCTCCGCGACTGTGTAGAGCTGCATCGCTAGCTGACTGGCGCCCATCTGTGATGCTGCCGTGCTGCTCCCTGCGCAGGGGTTGAAGGCGTGATGCGGTCGTTACCAATCGTTCAGCAAATGGTCTCGGAATTTCTCGGACGATTTCAGGACGTAATCTACAGCATGGGGCAGTTCTCAAGCTGGCTGCGTCGCCTTCCGATACCTGTCCCGCCGCTGCTGCAACGAGTTGCGGCCTGCAGAAATCTGCAGGCTCAAAGGCTTCGCATGCAAATGTGCATCGTCTGTTATCGCTCATCCGTGTGCCTCCAAAGTCAAAAACATCGTCTAGCAGCATCGCAGAGTCTTTGCAGGAAAGATGTGCAAGGATCTGATAGCACCGAAGCACAAGATGAACTCTGTGCGCCCTCGACAAAAGCTTGGAGCCTTTGTTTCACCGCACAGCCTCCGTCGAGCTTCCGATGCCGAAGGCCTAACATCCTAGAGTCCAACACCAGGGCTCCTTTACCAACTTCGGTGCTTTCTGCCCGGCATTTTAAAGTCCATCAGTTCTGTCGACTCTATTCAAAAAGACCCCATGAGCGACCAAGCACTGGAGGTCTTCGCCAAACACTGACACGTAACGGTGTGAAGACTTGAGAGCGGGAGATCAGTAGAAATCAATCAAAGCAGAACAAGGACAAGTCTTTTAAGCCGCTGCCTTGGCGCGCTGAGTCCAAAGCCGGCCTTTCCGGAGATGCTGAGTTCAGGTCTCGCGGCCAACAATACATTCAGATCAGATGACCTCGGAACCTGAATTGCCTCCGACACCTGCTCTACATGGCAGAAGCACTCACCGTAACACCAACGCCTCAGGGGGTGCTTTGAATTGTGAACTGATGTGCGTGGCTGGGCTGCTCCGACGGACACCAGAAAACTGAGTCGGAACCTTCGCCAACTCGGTCGCAACGCTGTTGCTCTGGCGGAGGAATAGTCCTGACTGGCACTACTTCCATGCCGAGAAGCAGGCACGTCTACACAAAGACGACAAGGACGCCTAAATCTAGAATCTAGGGAAGCTGTACATCGCCCCTGTCATATCACGTCGATATATCAGTATGCGGGTACTCTGTCCATGTGCGATGTAGATCTACCCAATAGAGAGCCAGAATAGTACAAAGGTATGTACAGATGCCTGCATGTACCTGTTTGCATCGACGCCGGTATAGAAGGTACACAATGACATAAACATGCCTAGGCAGGAGCCTATGTCAGCCAATGCACATAGTCTTACCTCCTTCACTCCCAATGTGAACATCCCAGCTTTCCCGAGAAGTGACAAGCAAAGGAACCGTGCCTCGGGGGGCGCGGCAATTCGTCAAGTTCCTCGCGCGAGGGAGAGATTTAGGAACGCCACAGCGGCACGCACACTTCTACATCCAAGGTCCCTGGCAACAAGATGAGAGGCGCAAAGCAACCTTTCCCGAAATGTGAAGCCGAAACCAGCCTTGCTACAACGATGCCGCGCACGGAAAGCATCTTGTCACGATGAACACCTTAGTTGAAGCTCTTTGATGCAACTCTGACTCCTGCCCTGAAAACGCCCGAAAAGGGAAACCCTTCATGTTGCCATGCGCATGGACCATGATGACCAGGATCTGAATTCTTGGTCTTGAATGGTCTTTGCTTTGCCATCAAGACCTGGAGATTTCTGCGACCACCTCAACACATTCCAACCCTAGAACTGGACAGGCATTTTTTTGAAAAGGTCTCTGTCTGCACTGCCACGGCGCAATCAAAGCGGGGGGCGAATGCGAAGCTCTTTCTTCGTTAAAGAATTCTGATAGAGTTCTGTCTGGCCGTTGGCCAAACTTCCCACCCCCTATGGCATCTCGAGCAAATGCGAGCGAGCGCACACTGGTTTTCCTGCAGTAGCAACAACTGCCGATTGGAGGATGTACGTCGGCTCTTGCTCCAGTGACTTTAGTGTCGGTTGTGGCTGCTCGATGCCTAAAGTCTAAAGGCGTTCACGTGTCCGCCACAAGTCACGCTCACAAACAACAGAAGCACGCTACACTGTTCATAAGCTGTCTTCTGTGTGTGTCTCTCCCTCTGCCCAGGAGTACAGGGTTCAAGATCTTGTGATGTCTAGGCAGCGCAGGCGCCCTCGTTGGCTCCGGTAGAGTGACAGTTTCCGTAGCACTTGCTTTCGCACCCCGTCTTCTTCGAGCTAATGGATCCTCTGGTGCATCCCCGCTTCGTCGCTCTTTTCTTGCCACAGGTGCGGGCCCTTCTGCCGCCTCCTCCACGGCAGCACCCAGCCTGAGTGCAGCTGCCCTCAGCTCCCATGACACGAAGGGACGAAGGGAAGGGAACTTCCTTTTGTTGCGGCTCGGAGACCACGTCCCGAGCTCCGCCAAGCGGGCGTCGACGTGGGCCGTGGAGCCGAGGATCTGCTTTGCAACGGGCTCTGGTGCTTTCTGCTTAGGATTTGCAACACGACTTAGGTCAAAAGGAAAGCTAATTACTGGCGAAAGAGAGAAAGGCACGACCACTCTCTCCGGCGATTGTCGCAAATCCGCATTTCTTGTGTCAGGCAAGGTTTAGGTCGAAACTGGGGTAGAGATTCCTTCAACAACTACTAGCACCATCAGCTTCCTCCTGGCTTCTTCACACCACCCCCGCCTCGGCGATTTCGAGAAGGGGCTGGTAGGAGCCTGTCAGAAGACTGAGCCGAGAATCTGGTCTTCGAGGCTTTCGAAAGAAAGCCAACCCACAATGTGCTGCATTGTGGATTATACCTATACAGCTACAACTGTTCGACCTTACCATAATCATGCAGATGCTACGAATACATCTGTCTCCGTCTCCTTTCTCTTCCTCTTGCTCTCTGCCCTCCTTCTTTCACGCACAGCGGGCAGCCCCGAAAATCTCCAGATCGTCCTAGGATGGCGAAACTTGGTATCTTGTGAGAACCTAGAATGTTGAGCCATGCTTGGACCAGCACATCTCTCTTGCGTGTTCCTGAATAGTAGGCAAAGTCTAGTCGTTTCGGTGTGAGCCCAGCAGCAGCAAATCGAAAAACCCTCGACCTCCCGTGCACGTATTGATCTGGAGACCATGGTGAACCGAAAGCAGCGTCTCGTCAGTTATGCAGTGCTCGCACACACACTTGCAGCAGGCCTTCAGTCGACTCTGCTGTCGCCACGCACACCTCTGACAGGGAATTCATAGCAATACCACGAGGTGCAAGTATGTTCGCACGGTCAAGGCCAAGGTGCTTCCCCCACCTATTTTCACTCTGCCTCTTTGTACCAGGCCTCGCCGATGGCTTTCAGAAGGCGCCGCAAGGAGCAAATCGAGAGGTCGCAACCTAGAAAAACCGTCAGTGGCTTGCATGCACTGATCTCTGAAGCTTTCGGCCCGTAGGCTGGCTGCTGCGGCCTACCAGTCCCAGAAAAAGCTGCAAATGACTTGCGGATGGCCCAAGCAGATGGGCAGAAGGCGAAGGCTGAAGCTTTGCCACGATCCACTAAGATGAATGTGCAGGAAGGGGAGGACTGCTTGCCCACATGGAAGGACTCAATCAAAGGAAAGAGTGAGAGGCCGAACACAATCTGTCCACAAGCTGGGCATGCTGGCGGTGACATCGGCGTCGTTCGCAGCCAAGACCCACGAGCAGCTTCAACCTCGACAGCTCCTCGCGCATCACTGACTGGGCTTGGGCAACACTGTCTTACACTGTCACAACTCGGACATTGCCAGGCGAGGTTCTCGGTGCCAGGTCGGCGTGAAACAATAGAACAATAGAACTAGCGGCATACCCACTTCACCCCAGGAAGCAAGGGCCTGCAGGCCAATACCAAGACATGTCAAAGCACCTAGAACAGAGCTCGCAGTAGACGATTCACGCGTGGTGAGCAGCACGGGATCCTACACGGTAGGCAAAGATGCACAGGTTGCCAGGGCACTATACCCGGGCCAGGAGACTCACACAAGTCACAGATTGCAATACCGAAGATCACTGTCTTAGTTCTTGCAGCCCGAGGTCGCCGAGGTCTCAGGTGCTGCCTGTGGAAGCGATTCCCAGCTGGAAAGGCACTGTTTGTTTCACAAGCTCCAAAAGTTGAGACTCAATGTATGTTTATGAGATTGCTGCAGACCCATCGATACATGGCAGTCCTCGGCACCTTTGGCCACGGCGCTCTGACGACGGTGGAGTTCCTCAGCCACCGCAGGACTTGCAGATTCCTCCTCCCTGAAGCTCATGCCCATGTATACTACAGTTGAATGTTACGTTTAAGTCTTAAGCCTTGAGCTTGTCGGTCGTATTCCTGGAAGCTTCCGAAGCTCCGGCTCCTTGTCCGTAATCCAACTCCGCTGTTGCATCACCGTGGTTTGCACCCCCAGCCGTCCAAACTTCAACTGCTTGTTTAGACAAGGTTGCCTCGTCGAGGTGGGGCCTTCAGAACCTACGGTAAGGCCCTGACTCTGTGTAGTCGTCCTGCCTCCTCCTCAGACACGACAGAGCGGGATCTGGAATAGTGTCTGACGCCCTGTTTATGCAGCGACTCCAGACGATGCCATAGCCGCGCTCTAGATGTCTCCCTGCTCGTTTGACTGCTCCCAAGTGCAGACGCATGCGGCCTTCATCCACTGCTCTGCTTCAGAGAGCAGTGCCGCAGGCGACTCAGACTGAAGCCTCGGTCTGTCGCAGCGGCTGCGGAAAGCTTGGGTGTAAGGGTCCACTGTGGCTTCCATGGAGCATCTGTCGTGGCATGAAACATCAGGAAACCGGGGAGGCGGGCACTGACAGGTCCTCCGTCTTCGCTAACTGCCGAGAGGCTTGCTACTGGGGCAAAACCGGTGCGAAAAGGGATGGGTCAGTCGACTGGCCATCGTAAGGGTGCAGCGGCGAACACTACGGTGCAGATAAAGAGGCTCCGGGGCTTCTTCGTCGTCTGCATGTGCCACTCGGGCAGTTGACTGCCTGGAGTACCCCGCGTGACCCAGTGGATGCTGCCTCACAGTATAGTTGTCGACCTCTTATGTGGCTGGCATTTTTGCAGCAGGTCCGCTTTAGCTACCAGCTTTGTTGTACTTGTCCTCCTCCGATTACTGCGCTTGTCATGACTAGAATAGCTCGCCAAGCTTCGAAGACTGGAAACAGCACTGCTGAGGCTGGGGAGCTATTGGCCCTAAAGCCTCATCTCCGGAGAACCTTGTGGACTCCTCAGGTGATCTTGTCGGCGAGTGAAGAAAGCTCAGCATGTCCTGGAGCAGTTGAAGACTCGCGAAGCTTGAGCCACGGCCGAGTTGAAGAAGATGTAACAACTTGACGAAGAAAGCTACAAGCACAATCCCGGAACACACCTCCTCTGCCGGAGTTTCGTCGATGTGGAGGTGACTGACGCCAGCCGTGTCGCATCCGAACCTGAGCTGGAGGTGGAGCCCAGAACGAAGTGTGTGAAGCAGCTCCGCGTTGGAACATAGGCTGGGGCAGCCCGAAATCCAACGGCTGCAGTTCTGCTACTAGCGCTAGCCAAAGCCGGCGGTACCGGACCCGCCGTAAACACACTGTATCATACGATCGTATGCGGTTGCCGCCTAGGTCCTATGTAGGTTGGTGTCTTGGAGTCCCGGCTCCCAGACCACCTGGGTGCCGATGGGCTGAGCCTCTACCTCTGCCCAATGGCAGATCGCCGGAAGCGATTCCTCGGCACCAAGGCTTTTGGGCTGCAACGGCTGGGGGGCAAGAGCAAGAAAAGAAAGGATGCTACAGGGCGTTGGCGGTGAGTGTTTTTCAGTTTTTGCTCCAGTGTTTTCGTCGTGACTGCCCTTCGGGTTTGCTGTTGCTGCAAAAGCGGGAGCAAAGTGCATCGATGGGAACTTCCAAACACAGCCGAGCCGCCAGGGCCCGCGTCTCCTTCGGCTCAAGAGGCCGAGGGAGGCCCTGGCCCTGGCCCTCTTCGCGGATTGGGATTGGGATCCTCCGGGTTTGGCCGAGACTTCAGCGCGCTGGCTACGAAGCTGAAGCTGCCGAATGCTGCGAGGAACCCGTGCGACCCTCCACCCAGGCCTGGAAGCGTCGTCACCTGCTTCGACTTTCCTCGACGATGGCGACTGCACGACTCCAGTCTTGTCTGCCGCTGAAGTCTCGCATTCCGACCTTTAATTGCATTGCTTGCTTTCGTTGCCAAGACTCAGAAACAGAGCTCAGCTTTGCACCAACGTGGAACGTCGTGGTCGAAACAATCAAGTGAATCACTTCTGACGTTGTATTCTGGGAACACCATCTTCTCCCCTTCAATGAAAGTGTAAAGGCACTTTGCGCGCCCTTGCATCCCGGCCGTGTCCTGAACCATTGAATGACTGGCACCCAATCCGCACAGCGAACTTTTTGCTGCCAGAAAGCAGAAGGGGCTCCCCTAACATGTCCGAGCTCGGCGATGCCGGCAGATATGACCTTCGTGTGACATTCGCTTTTATGATAACTGTCGAGCCGGGCACCCCAGCCACATTCAGAAACGGCGATTCTACGATGCGAAGAGTGCCCTGTGCTCAACTTACCTGGGGATTCCTGCGCTACTAGACTCATTGACAGGCTTTCGTGTGGCCTGTGGTACCTAATACCAAGCTTCGATCTGGCTCGGAAGTAGCTAAGTGAGAGGCTGGCAGCCCGAATGTTTCAGGTGCCTTTCCCACACCAAGCTCCGCCACACCCATTCCGAGCTCGCGCATGTTGCAGCTGAACCTTCCAAAATCGACAACCCAACTCCTGCGGCCCCTGGCTGCACACGATCTCCGCTTGCACCAGGAAACTGCGCGGCCACAGAGACAGGCGCCTGCCTGTAGCAGCAGATATGACAACTATGGTGAGGATGCTTCAGCTACTGCTGTTGGTGATGAAGATGACGCAAAGTGGTGATCTATGTGCATACTGAGTCTGCCGCTGTAACTGCCAGCGAAACAAACCGCCGTGCAGCTAGCCTCATCTCTCCAGCTGCATCGGACCCTGGCTGGCCACGTGTTGTGGCCACCTGGACCGGCCTGCGAGCTAGCTTGAATGTCTTGCTTGATACAAACAAACACAGGAACTGCAAGACATAACTGCTGCTATTCACTCTCATGCAGTTTCCCACAATGTCGCCCCGCCTCGGCTGTGCTTCCATTCCAGCCACGCCCTCTTGTGTGAGCATGGGTGGCCTCTTACAGAATGGCAGACAGTGAACGGAGAGCTCTGCTCTGACTCATACAGCCTTTCGGACGCCTTCTGCTCTTGTTGAACCGCATGTGGGCTTCTGAACCCACCAAGCCTCATGTCTCCAGCTGCATCGGTCCCTGGCTGGCCACGTGTTGTGGCCACCTGGACCGGCCTGCGAGCTAGCTTGAATGTCTTGCTTGATACAAACAAGCATAGGAACTGCAAGACATAACTGCTGCTATTCACTCTCATGCAGTTTCCCACAATGTCGCCCGGCCTCGGCTGTGCTTCCATTCCAGCCACGCCCTCTTGTATGAGCATGGGTGGCCTCTTACAGAATGGCAGACAGTGAACGGAGAGCGTCTGCTCGGACTCATACAGCCTTTCGGACGCCTTCTGCTCTTGTTGAACCGCATGTGGGCTTCTGAACCCACCAAGCCTCATGTCTCCAGCTGCATCGGACCCTGGCTGGCCACGTGTTGTGGCCACCTGGACCGGCCTGCGAGCTAGCTTGAATGTCTTGCTTGATACACACAAACACAGGAACTGCAAGACATAACTGCTGCTATTCACTCTCATGCAGTTTCCCACAATGTCGCCCCGCCTCGGCTGTGCTTCCACTCCAGCCACGCCCTCGTGTGTGAGCATGGGTGGCCTCTTTTTGTCACTCGTGCTCGACAAGTCAGACGAGGTTTGACAAGACTGCACAACTACTTACAGAATGGCAGACCGTGAACGGAGAGCGTCTGCTCTGACTCATACAGGCTTTCGGACGCCTTCTGCTCTTGTTGAGCCGCATGTGGGCTTCTGAACCCACCAAGCCTCATGTCTCCAGCTGCATCGGACCCTGGCTGGCCACGTTTTGTGGCCACCTGGACCGGCCTGCGAGCTAGCTTGAATGTCTTGCTTGATACAAACAAACATAGGAACTGCAAGACATAACTGCTGCTATTCACTCTCATGCAGTTTCCCACAATGTCGCCCGGCCTCGGCTGTGCTTCCATTCCAGCCACGCCCTCTTGTATGAGCATGGGTGGCCTCTTACAGAATGGCAGACCGTGAACGGAGAGCGTCTGCTCTGACTCATACAGCCTTTCGGACGCCTTCTGCTCTTGTTGAACCGCATGTGGGCTTCTGAACCCACCAAGCCTCATGTCTCCAGCTGCATCGGACCCTGGCTGGCCACGTGTTGTGGCCACCTGGACCGGCCTGCGAGCTAGCTTGAATGTCTTGCTTGATACAAACAAACATAGGAACTGCAAGACATAACTGCTGCTATTCACTCTCATGCAGTCTCCCACAATGTCGCCCCGCCTCGGCTGTGCTTCCACTCCAGCCACGCCCTCTTGCATGAGCATGGGTGGCCTCTTACAGAATGGCAGACCGTGAACGGAGAGCGTCTGCTCTGACTCATACAGCCTTTCGGACGCCTTCTGCTCTTGTTGAGCCGCATGTGGGCTTCTGAACCCACCAAGCCTCATGTCTCCAGCTGCATCGGACCCTGGCTGGCCACGTGTTGTGGCCACCTGGACCGGCCTGCGAGCTAGCTTGAATGTCTTGCTTGATAGTAACAAAGACATGAACTTCTATACAGAAGTCTTGTTCTTCACCCTCGATCAGTTTCCCAATGAAACGGGACCACTTTGGTCACGTTATCTCGAGTGGTGTACTCTTGCTACCATGTCAAGAACAAGACATCACCATATCATAACCTACATGCTCCAAATCGTGCTTGTTGTTGGGATAATCATAATCAGAAGCAAACCCCGGACAGTGCCGCCAGAAACCACCACGACGACGACGACGACGAGTGCACGTCAATCCCAGAAGGCTTCGACGTGACCCCACAGGCATTCCTGGGATGACATGGTCGCAGGACAACTTCTGCAAGTATGCTGGGCGGCGACATTCAAGACAGTTGGACATGCTGCCAATGTTCAGAATGGCATTGGTTTGCGTGAGATGTGCAAGAAGCACCCGCGATCTGCGTTTGGACTTTTTCTCCCAATGACAGATTTGTGATTGCCCACACAAGTGTTTCTCATACAATGCTGTGCCCGGAAGGCCACCGGCGAGGGCAAGACTTCTTCGAATACTTACATGGGCTGAGAACTTACCAAATAGCAGTCACTGTCCCGATGCAGTTCGAAACCCACCACTTGCCCGGCTGTGCTGACCCTGTGCTCTCCGGAGTGGAAGACGGTGGCGATGGTGCTCCACCTTTTGCGAGTGCCACGAGAGACCTGCAGAATAGTGAAAAGGTCAGCCAAGCACGGCGCAGCTCTGCTCACGGCACCGCAACAACCCCAAGCCAAGCTGCCTTTGCTCTCCAACCGCATTCGCCGCCCCTCCCGTTGGCGGTTGTGCCAGCCTGAACAGACGCATAGAAGTCGTCATATGTTGCCATGCTCTGCGCAGCTCAGCATTCCAAGCGAGAAGGGAACGGGAGTTTGCCTTTGCTTTGATTCCAAGGCCGGACTTTCATGATTCATTACCACACCTAAGAGACCTAACATGGAAGAAAGGAGAAGCCTTTCCGTGACTCCATGAAGCTGAGCGAAATCCCAAACAGATCACCCGCAGGACATATGAATCAAGGGCGCGAGTGTGCAGCCAGCAGTGGGTCGCCGCGCTGGCGATGCGCTTCAGGTGCCTTGAGATTCGGGGCATTGGCATGAAGGTGGTGGAGATAGAAGCCCAGCAACTTGTTAAAGGCTTAGGCGCGGTGAAATGAAAGCCGCGCAACGTCCCAGTCCAAAGCCAAGAATGGTCGCGGAACCAAACGGACAAGACAACTGGCTGATGGTTGAAGATTCGGGACCCTTTGCAGCACCACTGTGCAAAGTAGACTGGGCAGCAAGAACAACACAAGCCTCTGTATGTATAGACAACTAAACACGCGCTCCTGCAAACGGCTCATCAGCATAGACCTGTTCTCCCAAGACTATCGTCCAGCCTCGTTTTCTGCAGCTGACCTGGGCGACGACCTGCGCTTCCAAGCGGGCTTCCTGACCCGTCTCATGGCCCCCGAATCTCTGCTCCTTTTGACCACAGCAGTGCCGGTGAAATTGATTTTCCCGAACAAGCTCAGCTCTGCACTCACTTAACGGTTTTGCTTCATTAGCTGTTAAGCCATTACTCTGGTGGCCTGCTGCCCTTTCTGCCCAACGAGGAGGCGCGGTGGTGGCGGAAGGCCGAGGTCTTCCAAAGTTCAAGCAGGGCAGGGCAAAAGAGTATGGCTGCGTATAGCTGTAATTAGCTGCAAAGCAGGCTCAGTGTGAACGATGGAGTGTCGATGGACTTGTAAACGCTTTCAAAACGAATGTCGGACATGCGATTGCATTGAAGTAGTGGCAACGGATGCTAGGGGTGAGATGCTGCACGAAAGTTTCCATGTGTCTCAAGCCGCCTGACTGCCGACTGTGCTTACATTAGTCACGGACGTTCGTTGAAATAAGCACGAAAGATTCAACTAAAGCAGGGGAAACCCTCAGGCTACACTCAGCCTTCCCAACTCTGCATCCCAATGCTCGAACCTCGTCCGCAGCCGTTGATGCCGGTGAATGCCTTCCGAAGAACCTACAGCTGTTCACTTCCTTGCAAAGAAAGCGGCTCGGGGTGCGCGTTGCCTGCAACCTGGTAGATTTGGAAAGCTCGCGTCTGCACCCTAAAGCCGGGAGCTCCACCCACGCACCCAACCCATTCTACAACCATATCTTCAACTTCGATCTCGAACGCCAGGAAACAACTCTTCGTAACCATGTGCAGAATCGGCGTAGGCCAAGGCACATGTGCCCGAATTTCTGATAACGATGCTTAAATTCCGAAGCGGGTTGCAATGTATCATTGACTCGGTGATCCTTCATGATACCCTCAGCCGCATTGCACGAGGTCCTATCATTCAGCTCCAGCCTCAAACCTGTCGAGTTTTTGTTGAGTGATGAAGCCCACCCTTCCGGCAACTGGCCTCCCCTGCCGGCGGCTAAGAGAGACTGCCCGGTGCCGCCGGAAGTGACTTGCCTGGTCTAAAACCACAGAACAAAGAAGAGGTGGATGCACGAGTCATTGTACGAATGTGCCCCACACAACAACACACAGTGAAGGACTCGCTGACTAGCAAGAGTCGCCCGCTCCTGCCATGGCATGTGGTGCCGAAGCGATTTTTTCGGGACGCATCTGGCGGCCTCTTTGCTCGAAGCTCTGCTGCCTTTATTGAACGATGTCTTGCTTGAAAGGGCAAGACCACTGTACCCACAGTCAGAAGTCAGAAGGACTCTGCTCTGCCGCAAAGATGTCAAGAGCCATCCCAGCCGCCTCTTCCACCTCCTCGGTAGCCACGGGCCGCTGCAGATGTTGAAGGCGCCACTGCTGCTGCTCCTTCCATGGTATAAACTCCTCGTTTAGACTTTAAGTTTTCAGCCTTGGAGGCTACATGATCGTGATTGAATTCTGGAAATCGTTCCATTCATGACTCTCGGATTTCATCGTGCCCATCGATTTCGACCGGTCCGCCCACGCCCAAAATATCGCAACACGACAAGTCAGGGAATCAGCACTTTCCCCCCATTCCCCTTTGCCCCGGCCCACAGTCGAGCTTCCCGTTGAGAACGAGATCTTACATCCTGGGAAGATCTGGAGGACTAGTGAGATGGCACAAGCTCGAACTCGCATATGTTGCACCTGCGACGAGAACCTAATTGCAAGATCAAGCCGCCTTGAAATCAAGAGCGGCGTTTCCTGTTTGGCAACTTTTCTAGTGCAGCTCCAGTACGGACTTTCCCGTTGTCATGTTCTGTGTGGAAGGGTCCTGAGCTTCGATCTCTGCTGCAGAGGGCGATGGACCCCGGGGCCGAGAGCGTGGGCGGCCTGCCGAGCATCCCCGTCACCCTATGCTGTGCCCAGTTATGTCAAGCAACCGACCTGAGGACGATACTCGCAAAAACCAGATGAATGGTACAAACTTGGAACAACGGCCATGTGCTGTTGCAACAGCCGGTACATATCTTGGAGCTATCACAGAAAGCAGGCACAAGACCTGTGCCGTCCCGGGAAATGACACGTAAGCGCGAAACCCTTGCAACTGGTCTCCAAAAACAAGCCTTCGCTTGGCCATTGCTCTGTCATTGCTTGGCGCAGTCTTGCTTCGAAAAGCTCAAGATGCTCCTCAGGCCGAACATTCAGCTGGCCGACACGTCGACACGTCAGAATGATCAGAGGTTCAAGCGTGCAATTGAGGAGACAGGACGGTCCTGAAAAGCGTCACTGCAGCTTGAAGCCTTGAAGCTGCACTTTCAAACCAGACTCCAGTCATGTCCCTGGGCCCCAGGATGTCGCAGGCTCCCCCACCTGCGGAACCCTGGCGAAGCACTTAGGAAGCTGAAGTTGAAGCCCTAAAACTCCTCAGCCGTGTTTGGGGTTGGGAGTCTCCCCACCCATGCCATGTCGCATCGCTACAAGAGCTCGTCCTGTATGCCATCGGCATCCAGTGCTGCACCGGCCGCAGCTTCGCGAAGAAGCTCAGCCTCAAGAATGGACACCTGGCGGCGTGCTTATCGCAGGAGACGTCGCTACTGTCGGGCTTGGAAGAGGTTGTTTTGATCTTCACTGTCGTGACAGTGCCTGCTGCTGCACCAGGTGGTCTTGCAACCTCAGTCCCAGCAGCATCCTACAGGAAAGCGAAATGCCAGCCGCAAGCTTCACACCTTCTGCCGCTATGAAATGCTAACAGTACTACCCCTCAGCCAGCTGAAGTCGTCTGAGCAACGCCGTATGAGCCACTGGAGCAGCAAGCGGGCTTCCTGGCGAGGTTTCTGTGTGCCATGCTGCAGGGGCTGTTGAGCGCTCAGCCGAGATTTGCAGAATGTCCGGCCTTCTCCAGACGGGACGAAGGCAAAACTCGATGCGTTGCTCAGGTCCTGCGCATGGTCGGTTTCTCATTCGTCGCTGATTGGGACTTAGGAGCACTCGTGGTTGATGCAAGGGGTCGCGAAACATGATGCTGGACTTGACTTGCGGCTTCCCAGGCATCAAAGTCGTGTGCACGACAGTTTTCACTTGACTTTACACAGCTTGATGCAGCTGACGCTGCTGGCGACTCCAGTGTCTTGAAACCTCTGCCTCCAGCTGACAACTTCGCTATTCCGGTCTCACGTTGAATCAGCGAACCATGCGATGTCTATAATGAAAACCCTCTGAGAATTTACAACATTAGGGGTGTGCAGCATGGGAGCTCCACTCTCAAGCACGACACTCCCATGGAGAACAACCCACTTTCCCGGGAGATAGGCTTTGCACGTGTTGCCCCTGTAACCCGCGCAGGGCCCGATTGTGGGTCGGCAAAGCGCCGCGGCCAGCGCGACTGGGACTCCGGTCTGGCGAAGCCTGAAAATTCGGCATAGAAGAGATCAAGAACTGGATATCTTGAGAAATCATACAGTAGAGATACTGGTAGGCGGGCACACACACACACACACAGAGCTTGAACCTTGGTTTGGCTTGCACCTTCGTCAGAAGGATGGGCATGCAACCGCTCTTTTTGCATGGATGATCTCCAACGGTACTGCTGGAATGGCCGTGCTTCGGACTCGAAGCCTAACAGGGACTGCGGATCCGAGATTTGTGCTGACACTTTCCGACGAAGCAAAGAGTCCGTGTCGCTAACAACAAGCGCGGGACCGGGCCGTCGGGCAGGCGCCACTGTGCCGTGCGCTCCGAGTCCTAGAGCGGCTGTAGAGCACTGGTCGGGGGGCTCCGGATTTCAGAGAAACGGCAGCGCTGAAGCACGTCATGCCAAGTGGGGCTCTCCTCGTTGATGGTTCCTCGTCCACCGTAGCTGCGGTGGGCATGCGATGTCACCTCGCGCCTCATTTAGTTTTGGGAGGTGGAGTAAGATGAAGCAGGACTGCGAAAAGTGGGCTGACCTCCTCGGTGTGATGTCATCGAACAGGCTGTTGCTGAGATCTTCCCTGTACTCAAAGCAACAAACACCCTACCCCCTTCACTATGAAACTTTTCTTGCATGTGTACCCTTCGCACGGCCAGTCCAAAATCTCACACATCGATGAAACCCAGCATCACAGGACTTGTCCACACGACACTCGAGGCCTCTGAAAAAAAACTGATGCAAACTATGCACACAGTCCCAAGAATAACAACCAGAGAGTAAGTACACTTCTATCCCAAGACAGATGTCAACCAGGTTGCTTCTTTGAGGTTTGATGTACTTGGCTCCTCACCGACTGTTTCGTCTGTGTTGTTGACACCAAAGATCAATCAAAGTTTCATCGAAGTCGAACCGAGCTGCGGAAGCCGCATGGCCTCCTTCATGGAATCATTTCAGGGAACATGGCTACTAAGCCGTAGGTATGAAGGCTTGGCCCACTCTCAGACTGTGTTTTGAAATGTCTTCAAGCATCCTATGAAAAGCTTCTTCGTGGGCCGGCGATGGCTGATGCTTCACCTGCACCTAGCCGGCATGAAAATTGCTGTCGAGCCTCAACACCTGCACGCCGCAAACAGCGAGGCCGGACAATCCTTTGGCCACGTACCCCAAAGCTGAATAGGAATGGAATCTGGAAGCTGTGCCGAAACCCTAAGACTTCTTTTCCCAGCTCATGAAGCCAAACACCGCAAATTCGAAATCCAAGGACCTTTGTTTGGTACGAGCCGGACAAACCAAACTAAGGCGTACTTCCAGACTTCCAAACAGAAGCCTGCTGCCGAATTTCTTACCATTCCGATATCTCGTTTCTGAAGCCCGCCCGTCATGAACACCGGCCTTTCAACCACAGTTGTCTCGAATGATTGTGTCGATAGGATGAATGAAGCCTTCGAAGTGCAACAAGCTCTTTTTCTACTTGCCCCGCTCGCGCTTGTCAGGGTGGTGCCACTTGCAGTTGCGCTTGAAGTCGCAGGTGCCCATTGACCTGGGAAAAAAGGCTTCGCTACGTGCTTTCCAAAAGAAATTTGACTCCTGAACGTGAGCCCATAAGATTCAGCACAGAGCAGCTTCCCTGAACAATCAGGCTGTGATGTCAAATCGAAGGTGTTTGGATTAAGGATGTGACGTTGATGCGACAAAAGATGCCTCTAGGAATGGTAGAAGCAACACACCAGTTGGTGGTGCAGCTTTATTGCTGCGCTTGCTACAGTCGCAGCAGTCGTCTGAGCTCTTGTCGAGGCTGTGATAGAAGATTAACAGGTAAGAAGAATGTACGGGGACAGCTCAGCCTAGCCGCATGTAGTACGGGCAGGTCGCAGCCCAGGGCCGCATCCTTGGCTCGGAAACTCTGCGGCGCGCTTGGCATACAGCAGAGTTCAGATTTTTAAGTAAGCCAGGCGTCGGGAAGCCCTCCGAGTTGAACGTGACCTGTCGATTTTCACTGCACGCCAGGCACCCCCCCCCCCAGCTCCAGAGACAAAGTAGATCTACGGGCATGTACACCTTTCCGTAGCATCTCCGACGCAATCTGTTCAGCCACACCTTCATGCCCTCGGGGTGGTCGAAACGGCAATTTGCCGCCAAACGACACGTGCCTCCGATACCGTGGGAAAGGTCTGTGTGTTTGTGTCTGAGGAACCATCTTGCGATCATTCGGATGGCTACAGAGCTTTCGGCCTTGGAATCATTGATCTCCGGGTCTAGTCATTGCTTACATGGCTACACGTGCTTTGTTGCATCAGACATGGGAGCCACGCACCCCCCACACTTCACCCTTGAAGCCATTGCACATAAACTCAGCATCTGGATTTCTGATCGGAAGGCTTGCCACTCTGGAGTCAAAGCAGTTATGCGCTTCAACCACTATCAACTGGCTTATCAACTAAACCACTGCTGCTAGGTCCCAGGGCTCCATCCGAGGTGCCACTTTTCGCGAAGGAATCGCAGATGCGGGCGCCAGGGCGCATGGGCAGCCCTGTCATTGTCGTGTTCGGAGTTCGGATGCTGGGTTCAGAATTCGCGAGGGCGCGCGATCAACCCATCAATCGAAACCACTGCCACGCTGATCCGAGAGTTGTGCAGGCAAAGACATCTTCGAATGTCCTTGCTCCCTGCCTTGGCTGTTCAGCCCCTCCTTGACGGAGCCCTGATGACCCCCGGCAGCAGCACGGAGCTCTGACAGGAAGGCCACATCCTGCGCTTCTCATGCCACATGCCGCTGAGATTATCGGTAATGAACAAGTTTCCGGATTGTCGTGTTGTCCTACTAGCGCCACCACTGATGCGACCACCCGTGCGGAAGACTCGCGCGAGACTTGTCTTCCGGGATGTCCACACGAAGTCAAGTCTTCAGTTCATGTCATCGGTAGCTTGGACGGGAACACAGGAGAGGACCCATTCAGCGCTGTCTCTTTCTGACAAGCCAGTCAGTGAGCGACTCTTTCCGGCCGCTTGCTTCAGAAACCCTCTGGATTCTGGCCATCGACTGGAGTCCTCCTCCCGACCTGCGGCCACAAAGAGCTCCCGAAGGAACTTGATCTGCCCCTCACACTGCGAGAGACATTTGCTGAGTGATGCCGAGGACTTTTGCGCCACTTCCCAGACTTGTACCGTGAATGCAGACTACTACTTGCAGGCATGGATCCTTGTCTAAGCCGCCATTGCCCCCGGCCTTCTTCGCATAAGCCTGACGAGTGTCACGGGTGCTGAATGTCTCTCTGCCGGCATTAAGTCAGCATTTCCTGTCAACGGCAACGGTGCCGAGTACCAGTCAGTCGGAGACTGCCACATCATCTCTGCGTCTCTCCGATCGCGCCTCGATAGCTTTGATCGCAGCAGTGAACACTGCCGAGAGCGCCTCACCAAAGATGCAAGCACGGCGAGCACAACTTACAGTGCTTGCCTTTCAGAAGCGTATTGCTGCACCTTGGCCGCGTTGAGCTGCGAAAGCGCCCGAAGAACATCCAAGGCCTCCGTTCTTCTGGCTGCAGCTTTTCGGCTTCCGCATAGACGTGCCAAGACTTTTGCAAGGTGTTTAGGCACTCACAGTCGAGAAAGCCAAGTGAGGCTAATTTTCTGCCTGCCTCCATGAGGCTGAACCTGCGCGACTCGGCCTGACTGAGAGTTTGCGTCCCGAGTGCTGACCGACTTGAACTACATTGTGCTCCGCTACACATGTGATAAAATGCATCGCGCCAACGGCAAGGTGCAGCAGTTCTTCGGCCACAGTCTGTGACAAAGTACGACTCCTCCCTCGTGGGATGAAGTTTACGAGTTTGTCTTCTGCTCTTCCGGGTGCCAGGGCTTTGTGGCATCTGTGACAGTTTCACCGCTGGTCACGATAAACATCACTGCCACTGAACCAAACACAGATCAATGCAATAGCCGCCTTCTGCAGAACCTATCTACCCCGCGTTCCGCCCCCTGTGTGCCTCGGACCCGAGTGAGCTGAGACCAGCCTGAGGTGCAGTGATCCGCCGATGCCAGGAGCTAGCATCTTGCAAAGATTCTGCAGGTATTCCTCGATATCTTTGGATTCCTAGGACTTAGATCTTTCTGCAGCCCTTTGGAGTTCACATTTGGACCAGCATCAGTCCGCGCCTGGAGGCACTTCCTCATTGCTGGTCCCAGCGTCTCCGTGAATAGCCCCGGGTCATAGTACTTCACACCTTGGGGCATAGTGAAGGACTCGTGAGCTTCCCCACACGTTTGGTTGGGCAACGTTGGGCAGGTATTTGTTGCACCGACAACACTGGGTCCCCAGCGTGCGGCGGCGGCACAAACCGCGCCAAGCTCCTGCAGCAAAGGCGGCGGCTCGAGCGAGGCGCAGCAAAGAACACACCAAAGCCTTGAGCTATGGATAGCTCTGGAACCCCTGAGGACAGCTCCGCTGGTAGCTCTGCCAGCTCCTGTCGAGCAAACAAAACCGTATCAATGTATGGGTATGCTTGTACTTTAGACGTTAGATTGAGGCTGAGGTCGTGCCAGCACTGCTGCAAACAGTATGCGTTCGAAGACACTCTTGCCCTCATGTACATGTGAAGTTCGTTCCGGTGTGCACCCAGACCATTTCGTGTCGCGCGAATCTCAGAAACTGCGACCATTGAACACCGTCATTGGGACGTGTCAGCTCGTAGCCGTGGACCCTTCCCAGCTGAACTCGACTCTGCAGGGCTGGCGACTGCTATCAGAACCGTGAAGAGTGACAGCCCAGGCTTGCCGCTTGACAGATCCTCGTTAGTCCCAACAAGCCCTAACCCCGAACTAAGCCCGGCTCCTGAACCTTCCGCTTGCCGAAAGCCTGCGGCACACGACAGCAAGGAGGACATGAGGCCCAGTCAACTGACTTTCATGATTTTGGGAAGTCGCAACCGTGGACACAGAAGCTGTCTTAAGCTCAGATGAAGGTAAAGTTGCATGCTCAATGCATCGTCACTCGTGTCAGAAGTCGTCGCGCGCTAGCAAGATTCCAAGGTGGGTGAATGCGCCACTGGCACCCCATCCCGAATTTTCTGTGACAGTTGCAAGCCCATCCGGGATCCGTCCTCTGCTAGGCGGATCATCTGCGGCAAAGTCTCCACTTCGCCGGGAGACACCGCAGAAGCCTAGCGGAGTTGAAGGTTTCGGCATTATTTCTGTACTTTCGTGCAACAGCACAAAGGGTCGCATCGAACCGTGACTGCCATTTCATACGCAAGTCACCAAGGATAGTCTCGGTATAGAAGCCAGAACAAGCCATTATTGTAGCAACAACCCGCCCAACTGCCAAACAGGCATTCGCAGTCGAACCTGTGATTCGCCCCCGACCTAGCTTAAGAGTTCAAGCAAGAACGGAAAGGAACCATGGCCCTTGCCATGCCTCGGGTGACTGCGATCGAGATCTGGTTTTGCTCGCGTGAGCACCTTTCAAAAGAAGGGTCCGCTGCCCCTAAGACAATGACTCTAAGCCAAAGATCATATGCACCCAATGATTCTGCAAAGCTCTTCGTGATGCCACTTCGAGATACAGACTGGTTTTACAAAATTTGGTGCTCTGCAAACCAAACGACGAGCAGATCTCTTTGCAAAAGGCACCGTCCCCGAAAGTGTGCCTGAAAGTGCCGGCAATTGACCTGCATGCCCTTCCAGCGTCCGACCCGAAGGCTCCCACAAGCCCGAGACGAGCTTAGCGGCGCCTTCGCTTCCAGACCCTGCGCCCTCATCATCGCTGTCCATCCAGGCATAAGCCTGACACGCTGTCGAACTCACAAACTGCAAGGCCGCATGCCAATCTGGAAAGGTTTCTACACACCTGGTCAGGGCATTCGGCATGCTGAAACACATCTAAGTGCAAACTGTGAATTTTGCATGTGCTCGCGCTTTTGCTAGCAGCTAGCAACGCTTCAAGCAAGCCTAGCATCTCAGCCATCCTCTTGCAGCGCGGAGAACCCCTTTCTCTAAGTGTAGACTTACCAATAGGTCTCCCAAATACACTCAATCACTGGGAAAAACTTCCTTGCAGCAGGCGGTGCCTTTGTCTCTTTTTGGGCAGGCTCCACATCGCAGGGAGCCTTGGGGAGAGCCCTAGCAGTCGTATCTCAACAAACAGCAGTTGACTTCTTGCAAATGGTGCGTGCAAACTGTTGACTTTCTTCTTCGTTTCTCACTGAACTCAGTATCTACGCATTTGTTTCTATGATCGTGATCACTTCGTCTGCAGTGTCCGTCCCGTGTCGCAGCGGTATGTGCATTTCCCAATGCAAGCACAATCCTTGTTAAGCTCTGCCATGGTGCATTGTGGTCGCTGGCTTCGTCGGACTTCTCCTGACGAGCCGAATCTTGGTGATGCATTTGGCTCCCTCTGCTAATGGTTACTAACGCCTTGCAAACGGGGGCCGGTGCATCTAGACTCGGCTAGATGCTCTCGACCCCGACTCTTGGGAGTGTGAAGGGAGATCAAGCAAGTTGAAGCTCCCCGCTCTTCGTGAGCCTCAATGCCGGCTTAAACACGGACGCTGCCAGGTCTCCTTTGCCCTCTCCGGCGGGCTCCGGCTTCGACTAGGGCGTATTCGGCGCAGCGGCGCCTGAGCTACTTCGTCTGTCGCGATGTGATGGCCCGTTCTCCCATCGAAGATGCAGGCCGCGATGCTTTTTGGGTTTCTAAGCCTAAGCAATAACCTGTCTCGGGGAGGCAGCTTGCCTCGCATAATGGCGGCTCACGTGCTTGCGCACCCGCCGTCGCAGATGCTCTAAGAGGCGGCCGTTTGTACAAAGTTCAAAGCCCTTCTTTGGCCCATCGGATTGAACATGCAAGGTGAAACGGGCATGGCTTTTGCAAATCCAGTGGGTTCAGCGTGGCGGCACGCGCCACCACCACACCCCGTGGGGTCCCAGGTGCAGTGTGGCCGACTCCTCGCAGTGACAAGCTTCAACAAGATGGCCCATGTTTTTACGCGTAGGCATGTTGAAACCCACAACGCTTGTGCCAAAGTTTCAAGCTTCTTGTCTATCCGGTTCCTCTGTTCTTAGTCCCATGACTTGTTGGTCTCAAGAAGGCCAAGGAGAGGCCTGCAGCTCCCACAGGCTACTTGCTAGGGGCAGGATGCCCCCAGAAGCTCTCAAGTACCAGTATCACTACTCACTACGCACCAAGAATGCTTAGCTATGGATCATTGTGGCTCGACTCATATTCATGATTGTGCTGGTCTGCGGGGACATATTTGTCAATGCTTTCAAACTTCGAAGGGTGTGTCACCAAAAGGCCTGCAAACCACTGCGCTTTCCCCGCGAGCACAAGACTCTGACCCGTACTTACAGGTCGTCCAAATCCACTATCTTTGCGGCATTCGCAGCTGACGGTGACTTCAAATCGCACAGGTCCAGGAGTATGCCGCTGGGTCGAAGTCTAACCGGGCCCCATGTCGGAGCCGGAGCAAAGGATAACCGTGGAAATTTCCGGGACCTGCTAGGCTTCTGTTCCTTAGCCGCGATCTTTTGCCGTGGCTTCGGCTTCGTAGCGTTCACAACCGCGTTACGAGGCTTCCGCTTAGTGGCGTTCACACCCGCATGGCCAGCCTTGCGCTTGGTGCCGGACGGGCCGGACCCCGAGTGCCCGGATACGGACGGCTCCGCAGTCAATTCCTTCTCGGCCTCGGCCGGCCATAAGTCCAGGTCTTCGCCTTCGGGCTTCTTGATACGACCTGAGAGGCGGCCGTAGCGATAGCGCTTGGGGTCTTGCTGAACCCAAGCGTGGATGGACTCCTGTGTTCTCCAGCAATGGATCGCAGCAAATGCCTGCGCTCGAGAAGGCTCCGGAGGCCAGGGATCGAGTCCGAGCTGCTCGCTCTTGCCGAAAAAAACTGGAGCAAAGCCAGCCTCGTCATGAAAGCCCCGATGAGAATTGAATCGCTCCACCAGCACCGCCTTCAGGCCCTCCGTGGGCAGGAGTCGTTCTGCGAGCAGCTGGCGAAGTCTTGCCACGTTCAGGGAGGTCTCAGAAATCGATTTTTCCAGAACTGTGAAGGGAGCCGGCCCAGCAAGACCGTTCAGAGAAGCCAGCATACTGGACTCCTGCGTGCTGATGTCGGGCTTCTGGATCCCCACATCTTGGCACACCTTGCTCTTGCCCTTACGACGGCGTGGCTTCGCTGGCCTCTCCCATCCAAGCTTCCTGAACTGGGTCTTTTACTGGATGAACCAATCTCGGACAAACGCTAAATATGGCCGCTATATTGACACTTTGCGCCCTCTCTCACTCTTTGCCTCCTTCCTCGCTCCCTTTCTGCCTCCATCCCTCCCTCCCTCCCCCCTTGCGTCCATGGTGCTCGCCAGTCTCACAGACCAAAGCACAATCGGGATCTTGCCAAGGGAGCTGGCAAGACTCGCAAGCGAAGCAAATTCGACCGCCTAGGGTCCAGCAGCGAACAGAGAGACCGCAAGTCAAGCATGCTTTCCGGAAGTAAACCCAACGGCGCTTACGCGAATCCTTGCTGTCGTCCTGGCTTCGGTTTCTGCAATTCAGCCATTCATCGTCAAGCACAGTCACGAGAGTCCCAACCCTGGCACCGAGCTGTAAAAGCATGACGCTTTCCCTCCAAAGCTTGTCGAAGTCTGAGGAAGAAAGCGTGCAGGCAGGCCGCAGAGGGTGCCAGCGGAGGCGGTGCAGCAGCTCGGCTCGATAAATATTGCCAATGCCTGCCATCACCGACTGGTCCATCAGCATCAGGCCGATGGGCCGCGATGACGAGCGGATGCTCTTCCATGCACGTAGCGGCTCGCTGTCCACACGGAGAGGATCCGGGCCCAACTGCGCTGTCACCTTTGCCAGCTGTGCAGCGGATAAGAGACGACATAAGATGCCAGACATGTAGCCTACCACTCCCGTCTCGGAGCTTTCTAGCCTCAGGCGGGACGTCCTTCGCGGTCCTGGGTCCTGTGACAACCGAAAGAGCGGGATGCCACCTGACAGGGCTGCGTTACATAAACAAAGAGCCAAGCCGCACCGGAAGCTTAGAGCCCCTCTCTCTCTCTCTCTCTCTCTCTCTCTCTCTCTCTCTCTCTCTCTCTCTCTCTCTCTCTCTCTCTCTCGCTCTCTCCAAAAACTCTCCTCTGATGCACGAGTGAAGTTGCCACTGGACCTGACATGCCAAAGTGGAGATGGAGAACATGAAGTCCAACGGGTGTTTCAAAATGCAGGAAGAGATTCTTGCCGATGGTCTGCACCAACACCAGCACACAGCCGTTGACTTTGCTGGGGTCGAGAGAGCCGTTGGGGCTACTTGCCCGAAGCCTCCTCCGCAGGAAAAGGAGCCGCAGCTTTGCAGCGGTCCGCCACACCCCGTTCCCTTCCACCATGGTGCGATGCTGGAAAATTATTGCCTACATGGCTGAGAATCGGCGGAAACAGCAACGGAGGCCGCGGTCGATACAAGCTCGCCTCTCCCTCGTACTGCAGAATCCGCGAACCAGTGAACCCACGGCTACGAAGCTTTTGTTGTCAAGCAGAGTTACACGTACCTCTTTTGAAGTCACTACGAAGCACTGGACTAACAGCTTTTCCATCCCGAAGAAGCCGCACACTCTGCAGGTTGCCTAGGCCAAAAAAGCCGTCCAATCCTTCCTGACCCAACCCGAGTTTCAAGCGGGTCCGGTATCAGCGCATGCACAGCTCTGGGGACGCCCTCCACGCCTCACAGGAGGAAGCCAATGAATGCGGCATGTGTGACCGATTTTCAGAGCGTGACGGCTTAACCACTATCACCCCGTGCATACACCAAAAGCCCCCCGGCCAGCACGATAGTCGTGGCCGGCAACCACCCCACCAGGTGGCACAAGTTGGGACCAGCTGCGAATGTCCCTGGCGCATGACCTGGACTCGGAATTGACCAGAAGGGTGCACCACAGAGCGCACGGGGAGAGACATGTGTGCAACCAGTCAAGGACAAGAAAACTGCCAGCGACTTCCCCATTGAAACACTCTCTGGATCCTTGTCCTCATGAGCTGATGCCCTCTTCGCAGCTTGGTCACGCAGTCGGACGCACTGGCTCCCACAACTCGGAGGCATTGTCTTGCTCGTTTCAACCTCCAGCCTCTTGCAGTCCCAGCAGCTCAAAATCATGCTCGCCATCCACGAACACAAGGTCAGGCAACTGGCACGCCATTTGGAGGGATCAACAGGCAGAGTGGTTTCGACTGTTTTTATGCACCATGCAAGCCGAGCATCATGAGCATCATCAGCCACACCTTCAGGCAATCTCGGAGACCTTCCGGCAATGCCATAAACAGCCCGCGCATCATGATCATCATCAACCTCACTTTCCGGCAATGCCGAAGGCAACCCCGAGCATCATGAGCATCATCAGCCACACCTTCAGGCAATCTCGGAAACTTTCCGGCAATGCCACAAACAACCCCGCACATCATGATCATCATCAACCTCAGTTTTCGGCAATGCCGAAGGCAACCCCGAGCATCATGAGCATCATCAGCCACACCGTCAGGCAATCTCGGAGACCTTCCGGCAATGCCATAAACAGCCCGCGCATCATGATCATCATCAATCTCACTTTCCGGCAATGCCGAAGGCAACCCCGAGCATCATGAGCATCATCAGCCACACCTTCAGGCAATCTCGGAGACTTTCCGGCAATGCCACAAACAACCCCGCACATCATGATCATCATCAACCTCACTTTCCGGCAATGCCGAAGGCAACCCCGAGCATCATGCGCATCATCAGTCCCACCTTCAGGCAATCTCGGAGACTTTTGGCAATGTCAAAAACCGCCCACGCATCAGGATCATCATCAATCGCACTTTCCGGCAATGCGGA